ATATAGTCAGCTGCCAAATCTTGTTGTTTCTAATTTAAAAATATATTTTGCTTCTGTCTCTTCTAAACCCTGTGCTACTGGCTTAAAATAGGCCTTCAACATATCTGCTTTGACTATTATTGTAACAGCCACATAATCTGCTTCCTTGGTAACAGTTTTTCCCCACCCCAGTATGTTCTCCAGGGTGCCACTGTACACTTCTCCTACTTATCGACTATCCTGTTATCCAACATTTTGCATTTACAACAATAGTAAAAAAAAAAAAAATCTAAGTATTTTGCATACTAACAACTTCTGTCTGGCAGTAACAAACATCAAAGTGTAAGATGAAAGTAACACTGGTTGTCATAGTTAAGGTTATGTGTCAACTGGCTGGGTCATGATTTGCAGTGGTTTGGCAGTTTTGTAATGCTGTAATTTGGCAATTATGTAATGATGGCAGTGAGTTTTTTGTTTTTTTTTTGTAGTCGCCCTCCATTTTGTGATCTGATAGAATCAACTTCCATTTTCGCATAATGCTGATTTTCACCTAACAACCTGGTCTTTGAAAACTATGTCAATAAATGATGAGTGGATGATGCAGTGATTTTCCTGAAAACAAAGCATTTTCTACTTAAAAGTTTCTGGTCTTCTATGCTCATAGGGTAAAATCCAAACTGAGCCTGGCTGCCAAACTCTTCACACCCTGATCCCTTCCCACCTCTCTACTTTGTTTCCTTTCCTACATTCATCTTTTCCATCTTCTTGCCTCATATTCTTACTACTTCTAATACATAAACCAGAACTTCTTCCAGAAGTTCATACATACTTCTTTTCAAGCTATTCCATTTCTTCCTCTCCACCTCTGCTCATATGAAAAATTTCTACATTTGTTAAAGTCAAGTTTAAACATCATCTCTTCTGTGACGCCTTTCCAAATTCTTCCAGGCAACTAGACATTCTGTTCATTTTCCTCCCAGAACACTTTATATTTGCTACAGACTATTCAATGTGGTTTTTAATTTTTCCACCAAAAAGCTGGTATTTCTAACCAAGATGTGACAGTGTTTGTTTTACAAAAGACTATAAGCTTCTGAGTATCAGAGAACTGGATGTTGTTAGCTGCCTTGGAGTCTATTCCAATTCATAGATCAAAGTTGTTTAATAAATACTGGCTGAGTGAATGCAATGTCGTCCCTTCTCCAACATGTTTTTTGTATTAGTCTCTTCCTTTCTTTTCCTTTCCTCCTACTACATTCCTAATATACAATCAACTCAAACTTGGCTTTTAATAGCTTCTGAATTGATCATCTAGAGTAGCACTATTCAATAATGTAACCATTAACCACATGTGGCTATTGTGCACTTGAAATGTTGTTGTTATATGCCATCGAGTCGGACCTGACTCATAGCGACCCCTCCTTGGGTTTCCAAGGCAGTATCACTACGGAAGTAGATTGCCCCATCTTCCTTCCGAGGAGTGGCTGGTGGGTTTGAACCGCCCAAATTAAAACCTGGAAGTGTAGCATACACACCAGATATTGAAAACTTAGTATAAAAACAGGAGCTCTGGTGGTGTAGTGCCCAAGGCATTTGACTGTTAACCGAAGGGCTGGTGGTTTAAACCCACCAGCCACTCCTTGAAAGGAAGATAGGGCAATCTACTTCCGTAGAGATATGGCCTCAGAAACCCAAGAAAGGGTCACTCTGAGTTAGAGCTGACTCGATGGCAGTGAGTGGTAGTGGTAGTATAAAAACAAGAATGTAGAGTACCTAATTAATAATTTTTTATATTGAGTGTATGTTGAAGTGATAATATATGGATACATTGGGTTGAATAAACTATTAAAATTAATTTCACCTGTTTCTTTTGCCCCTTTATAAACATGTTGTGTTGTTAGGTGCTGTCCAGTAGGCTCTGACTCATAGTAGCACTATGTGCAACAGAACGAAACAGTGCCTGGTCCTGTGCCATCCTCACAATTCCTACTATGCCTGAGCCCATCATTTTTAAACAAAGCTCCTTGAAAATTTAAAATTACATATGTGGCATGCATTATATTTCTGTTAGACATTACTGCAACCTTTCAATACATCCTGTAGATAATTTCTTGGTGGTAAGTTTGTCTTCTTCTTCCTTTTTTTTTTTTTTTTTGAATTTTCACTGTTAAACAGAGTTTTTTGGAGGAAATAATAAATGGTGGTTGTTAATTGGTTACTTTCCCCAAGCAACTTCCTTATCATGCTACTATCCTGATTGAAGAACCTTGTTTCTAGTTGCTGTGGAGTTGATTCCGACACACGGCTACCCCGTCTGTTCAGAGCAGAACTGCTCCATAGGGGTTTCAAGGCTGTGAACTTTCAGAAGCAGGTTGCCAGGCCTGTCTTCCGAGGTGCCTCTGGGAGGGCTTGAACTGCCAACCTTTTGGCTACTAGTCGACTGCTTAACTGTATCATCCAGTGATGCTCACCTACAAATTTTCACCTGTCAACATCACCAAAGCCAGATTGTTCTGTTTCACTCCCCAAACCTTCTATAGCCCTATCATTCTTGACTTATCCAGCCTTATCTCTCATTCTTCCCAAGTAATGCCCCTGTGCTCTGATCTGCTTTCAAGCTACTTGAAACTTCTGTGCTTTTGTATGTGCTCTTCTTCCTCAATATCTCCCTCCCCAGTTCCCATCTAAAATCTAAGTCAGTCCTCAAGACCTGGCTCATAAGCTCTACCACACGCATGATTTTTTTTTTTTTCCTGTTTACTGGAAAACACCTTCATATCCCCCTAGTTATAGCTTATGAGTCAGAATCACTCAGTTTAAGCTCTAATTTGTTCAGTTGCAGAGCATTTTCATCACCATCATTATTCAATTTAATTCCATAAACATATTTGAGCCCCCCTAGGTTATTAATGCCTGCTAACCAGACGGCTGGCGGTTCAAACCCACCAGCCACTCCTCGGAAGGAATGTTGGGCAATCCTACTTCCGTAGTGATACTGCCTCGGAAACCCAAGGAAGGGTCGCTATGAGTCGGGTTTGACTCGACGGCACATAACAACAACAGGTTATTAACAGGAGCTCTGATAGCATAGTGCCTAAGGCACTTGACTGCTAACCAAAGGCTAGTGGTTCAAACCCTTGGAAGGAAGGTTGGGCAATCTACTTCCATAGTGATATATGCCTTGGAAACCCAAGGAGGGGTCGCTGTGAGTCGAGTCCAACTCGACGGCAAACAACAACAGCAACAGATTATTAACAAAGAGTCCTGATGGTGCAATGGTTAGTTGCTTGACTACTAACCTAAAAGTTTGTGGTTCCCTACCCAACTGCTCCATGGAAAAAAGATCAGGTGATCTGTTCCTGTAAAGATGACAGACTAGAAAACTCTATGGGGCAGTTATACACTGTAACATGGGGTTGCTATGAACTGAAAAGCCACTCCATGGGCAGCTAACAACAACATGCTAGGAACTGGCCCTACAAAGAAGTGTAAGACACAGACTCCTCCTCATTGCTTTTCTTAGAACCTGCCCACCAAAGAGCAAATGCCTATTGTGCTCACATGACCCGAAATTAGAAGTTATTAGTATGTCAAAACACCTAGACTTCAAACCTCATGATCCTGTATTAGGGAGTTCTGGGATCTAACTAAGGAGCCCCAGTGGAGTAGTGGTTAAGTGCTTGCTGCTAACCAAAAAGTTTGTGGTTCCAACTCCCCAGCAAGATGTGGCAGTCTTCCCCAACAAAGGTTACAGCCTTGGAAACCCCCTGGGTCACTATGAGTTGGAATCCACTGGACAGCAATGAGTTTTTTTTTTCTTTTTTTTTGGGTGGGGGGTGGGATGGGGTGGAATTTAACCAGTCAGCCATGGTGGGGTAGTGGTTAAGCACTTGGCTGCTAAAAAGGTTGGTAGTTTAAAGCCACCAGCTGTTCTGTGGGAGAAAAATGTGACAATTCAACTCTGTCCTGTAGGGTCACTGTGAGTTGGAATCAGCTTTGGAAACCCTATGGAGTAGTTTCACTCTGCCCTATAGGGTCACTATGAGTAGGAAGACAACTCTATGGCAATGGATTTGATTGGGGTCTAACCAAGAGTGTCTTCTTTCCCAACTTATCAATTACTGGCATTAAGGATTACTGTTCATACAGCTTTTTGTATATTAAAGTGACATGGCCCAGTTTTTGACTCCTTAGCCACACTGTCCCTTCCTATGTACCTACTTTGTGTTTTAATTTAAACTTTTCCACTCAGTAGCTCTATAATTTGGACAAATTACTTAATTCCTCATGCATCACTTTCCTCATCTGTAGAATGAGGATAATAGTATCCTAGGGTTGCGGTAAGGAGTAAATGAGTTAATAATAGTTCATAGCACAAAGCAATTACTCGACAAACCTTAGCCCACAAATAATGTTACTCTCATACTGCTTGTTTCTCTCCCCTAAAACATAATTCCGTGGAAGTGACTTATTATTATTATTACTACTATTGTGGAGGTTGTACCTGTTTTATTCTATGTACATGTCTAGGCTATAGTTTCAAAACTGTGTGTGAATACATGTTGAATGAATAGGTGACTCCACCCAATCACTACTATTTCTACATTTCCAGTGTTGTGTTAATAAAAGCAAAGATCCGGAAGTAAGTGAAAGGTGTCTCCTTGTAAAAGGTCATCCTATATCGCCTGATTAACCCTTTATCCTAGAACCTCAGCAACAATTACACCTCAACAAAGGGGAAGCCCACAGCGGGCAACTCGGAACGCCTTTCCCAAATCATCTTGGCTTTACTGCACATGCGCAAAGACGCTGCTGGCCGGGCTCCGGGAAAGTTTGGCGCATGCGCACACCCGGCGGCTGGGTTCCTTCCTGCAGCGCCACCCGGAAGCCTCCGCTCGATCCTCCACCCCTCTCGGGCTCGGGCGCAGCGTGCGGGGCCTGCCCGGCTAGGAGGCGGGACACGTCGGCGCTGCCATCGCCGCCGCCACCGCCCCTCCTCCAGATCCAGCTGCCGCGGCTTTCTGGGTGAGTCCACCCGCGATCCCGGCGGCGTCAGGTGCGTTCAACCTGCCCAGCCCCGGCCGCCGTAGCTGCCCTGGGCTCCCTGCTCCGTTGCTGAGATGGCGACGCGCTCCTGCCGAGAGAAGGCTCAGAAGCTGAACGAGCAGCACCAGCTCATCCTGTCCAAGCTGCTGAGGGAGGAGGACAACAAGTACTGCGCCGACTGCGAGGCCAAAGGTAGCACGGATGTCGTCGCCCCTGGCCGGGGCCTCTTGTGGCCGGTGACCTTCCCGCCGTCGCGGAGCCGGTACCCCTCGCGGCCGGTCCGGACGCCACGGCTGCGCCTGGCTGGTCCCGGCCCTGACAGGAGGGAGGGAGGAAGGGAGGGAAGAAGAGAGGAAGGGCTGGCGTGGGGCTTGAATCGACTCTCATCTCCACCGAAGGCGCCTGCGAGGTCAGACTTGGGCGTACAGTCACTGGCCTCAGCCTTCCCGCATCCCAGGTCCCGGGCTGCACTGGTCCCCGCGTTACGATGCTCCGACCTTCCACCGGTCGGTGGTCGGAGCTGGGTTGAGAGCTCGGAACCGGGCGGCGGCGGGGGCCGTACTTGGTGTTAAAGGGTTGCCCTACTCCCACCTCTGTTCACAGGTACCTCGGTGGGTGGGGCCTCCCTTAGGTGTCAGTCCCGCCTCAGCCCTGCCCTTAAGACCACGTCCTTCCTCTGGAGGCTCAGATGCTTGGTTTCACTAGTAATGCATACCTGCTTGTCCACCTGTCAGCTTTTATGTGAGGGTATTACCGCTGCTTCCTAAAAGAGGATGGTGGTTCTTTTTCGTGGTTGGGAGTGTTAGTGAATAAAATAATTGGCGGGGGCGTCATTATTGTTAATAGTAGGAGGAGAATTGTTTTCAACTCTGTATATTAGCCAAAATGAAGGGGAATTTCCTTACAGGAGTCTCTGACTTATATTCCTGAAGGTTTTAATAATTAGATACTTTCTGACCAGTTAGTTTAGAAGGAGAATATGTGGGCATCGGTTTGTGTGCCACATGAAGGTTCATTTTAAAGGTCCAGAGATAGAAAAGACCTAATTTTAGTTTGTTCAGTTGGAAGGCTTCTGCCTTAGTCTTTGAAATACACTATTTTTAGCCTATATGTTTTGGGTTTGGAGATCTGATTCATGTTTACTTATAATGTCTGTAACTCAGGAGCTCTGGTGGCGTAGTGCCTAAGGCATTTGACAGCTAACCAGAAGTCTGGTGGTTCAAATCCACCAGCCACTCCTCGGGAGGAAGACTGGGCAATCTACTTCCTTAGAGATACTGCCTCGGAAGCCCAAGGAAGGGTCGCTATGAGTCGGAACCAACTCGACGGCAGTGAGTTTGGATTTTGGTTTTTTGGTCTTAAAACTAATCTCATGGGAAAATGTATCAGAGCTTTTTTTAAACAAACGTCTCGTGGTTAGGAAAAGCTCTTATTTGTAAATTGTTTTATTCTGGTGAAAAATAGGTAATTTCTCCAAAGTAGGAGAATCTGTCTTTGGGAATGCCCTTTAAGATTCCTGCGTTACTTGATTTAGTCTCTTCTTGAAGCTTTCCTGTTCTTTTTCAATACTGTGTAGATGAATCACATTTAAGGAGGCCGATATTGATTACTTGGACTAAGCCACACAACATCAACCAGTTACTTCACTATCACAACAGATACTGGATTACTGAATCATGTGGGAATACTGTAACTAGACCATATTATGAAGCACCTTTCAATATCCTAATAACTTGAACTAATTTATGTTTATCCTGTGTTCTTAATCATGTGGTAAGGTAAGAAAAATAATAATAATATTAGTTTACCTAGTACTTGATTATGTGTGTAGTTATTTGGGGATACTGTACTGTGTTAAAAGTCATTTGCTCATCACTTCATTTGTAAAGCTCTCAAAGAGAGCCTTTAAAAGTCTAGAAAAATAAATGAACTGAGCTCATGTGATATGTGTTTTTGTCATTTTGGTTAATTAGTAACATGATTAAGTACAGATGCTATTAAACGTTAAGTCTATTCATTGAAAGTTGAATAAGGTCAGTTTCAGTAATTACCTTCCTTTATGTACAGAGAGAGGAGCTCTGGTGGCATAGTGCCTAAGACGCTTGACTGCTAACCAGAAGGTTGGTGGTTCAAACCCACCAGCCACTCCTGGGAAGGAAGGTTGGGTAATCTACTTCCCTAGTGATACTGCCTAGGAAACCCAAGGAGGAGGGGTCTCTATGAGTCGGGTCCGACTAGTTGAAAAATAATTGTTTGTTTAAATTTACCTCCAAAAAGTACTTGATAAAATCAGATTTTCACCTATAATTCCCAAAATAATGTATAGATTTTAAAAACGTCATTATCACATGTTAGTGTTTTCCCTTTTTTTGAGAGTGGTGGTGGATGATCATGTATTTCTCAAATTAGGATGGAAAATTTACCTCTTCTGACACGGAGGAATAAGAGACATTGGTTTTGCTTGCTATTTGTACTGCCACCTCCAGCATAGATTTTAGTGCTGAGATCAATAGATAATGAATGTATTTTTAATTTTGTTTTTATTTGGTCTTATTTTGGTCAGTTTGTTTATGAGAAGTAGAGGAAGTGGCAGAGAAGAGAATAGTATTAAAAGTTCAAGGGTGCAGCTTCAAGGCACGAATGCCATAGTCACAGGTTGGAAAGATTACTGGTTCCTTGTGATTACTAAATCTAGAATAATGTTAATATGAACATGTAATTTTTTTTGTTATTTTATATTGATCTTTTCAGGGAAAAAAATATCACAGTTAAGCCTACTTTCTGGTTTAATTATGGAGCCCTCTGGTTCAATGTTTAAGATGTTGAGCTGCTTACTGGAAGGTTGTCAGTTCAAATGCACCAGCTGCTCCATGTGAGGAAGATGAGGCAGTCTGCTTCCCTGAAGATTTATAGCCTTGGAAATGCAATATGGCAGTTCTGTTCTGCTCTATAGGGTTGCTGTGAGTCGGAATCAACTTGATGACAGTAGGTTTTTATTGGTTTAATTACACTTGATTTCATAGTTGTAATAATGGAAAAATTTGATATGATTGGACAGTTTTTAAATTTGAATATATTTTGCAGTTTTTGGTATGGCTGTACTATGTTATAAAGCCTTCTTATAGTAGAAATCTTGGCTTATTACATGATTTTGGACCTATTATATATGCCAGCTATTAGAGAAATGTAGGTAGTGATTCTGCTTAAGTGTACATTTAAAAGACATTCTGTGGCTCTTATGCTACAGGACAGTTATAAAGAAGCTCCATTCTGTAAATATGTATTGATATTTCTTAACTGTCTAATATAGTACAGTAAGCTTTTCATGTGTTTCGAAGCTATTTTCTAGTTACTTCAGTTTTCTTTCTTTCAAGGAATGCTGTTTTGACTGATCTTTGACAGCATGTACCACAGTGTAAGCCTAGAGTGAACTAAAGATTACCCTGTGTTGTTGCCTTATAATAGTTGGCAGAGGTCTGTCAATTGGGCTTTGACATTTTCTTACTGAGTTACTCACCAGTGTGTGTTTCCTAACTTGACAGTATTTAGGAAGGAAGGACAAATGGATCTCAAAGGTGCCAACTTCTTGCTCTTGAACCTACTCTTAACCAAATCTGTTGAGCAACTGGAGAATAAGAACAGGCAGATGGAGCTACATTTCCATTTCCTGGCTGCTTTAATGATTTTTCTGGGCATTTTTAAGAAGCCCTGTTGGTTATTTTGGTAACACTTTGTAGAGCAGTGAAGATTGAGGCACCTTGCCCTGAATCTTTCATTGTACTTACCACAGTTATAATTAAACATTAGTTTGGTAATTATTGGGCAGTCTGTATTCCTGTTGGATTATAAATGCAAGAGAGAAGAGATCATATCTGTCTTGCTTAGAACTGTATCCGTAGTACAGTTGTGGCATGTGCTAGATAAATGTAACTCAATGTCTTTTGAATGAATGAATGAATATTTGAGTGAGCAGAGTTAGAGGGCAGGTGGCAGGGTATGGAAAAATGAGTATGCATATAGGGAATGTAGAGTGACCCTATTTGGAAAATTAATGAAAGGAGTCTTATGTGAGTTAGGTTCTGAAGGTGGAGTGTGATTTCACCAGATGGAGAAATTAAAGGACACATTTAGCTGCATACACAAAGTGTGAAATAAAACACAAGATGTTTTCATATGACCCCTTTTGTCTTTAAGTTTTCTTTAAGCATGATCACATTTGGTGGTGGCATGTCAGGTGAAGAACCAGAATGGCAAGTCATTTAGTTAGGAAGAGCTTAGTAGTGGTCCAAGCAGGAGAGTTTAAAAAAAACAAAAACGGAAACCAAATCCATTTTCATCAAGTAGATTCTGACTCATGACAACCCCATGTGTTACAGATGAGAACTGAGGTCCATAGGACTTTCTTGGCTGTAATCTTTATGGAAGCAGATAGCCAAGACTTTCTTCTGAGATGCCACTGGGTTTGAAACTCCAACCTTTTGGTTAGTAGTCAATTACAAAGTTTGAGCTTCTAAGCAAGAGAATAAAAGGATCTGAACTGAGTTAATAGCAGTGTATCAAACTGGGTTCAGAGCAAGAAGCAGAACCATTGTAGCTATTCTTAGCTGAAGGGAATTGAGGGAACCAGATAGTTACAAAATCATTGGAAGGACTGGGGGAGTGAAGTCAGAGAGCCACTACTGGACTTTGTGTTTCAAGCTCCTGTTAGTGCTTCTTACACCCAAAACTGGTGAACTGATAGGGATCAAAGACTCTGGTTGTTGCATGTTACTACACATTTTTGTCAGTTGCCCCCACCATAGGAAGAGGACCTGTGCCATCCAAGTAACCTTTGTTGTTGTTGTTATGTGCCGTCGAGTCGGCCCCGACTCATAGCGACCCCTCCTTGGGTTTCTGAGGCAGTATCACTACGGAAGCAGGATTGCCCAACCTTCCTTCCGAGGAGTGGCTGGTGGGTTTGAACTGCCAGCCTTCTGGTGAGCAGTCAAGTGCCTTTGCCACTATGCTACCTTTAGGTGCAAATAATTACCCAAACGTAATTTATGTCCAGCACCTTGTCTGCAAGGGAGCCTTTTAGCTGTCTAACTGCTTTAAAGAGTAGAAGCTTCAAATAGAGGCTTTCAGAGCCAATCCAAGAGTCTACCTTAGGCAGTGAAGATGGAGAAGCAGATTGGATATGCTGTTTAATTGAA